GTCTAGGGCCTGTCTGGACGATATCAGAGCCTGCAATGATGTTTCCCTCCGAAAGGGAGGAGGTACCGGTTGCTGGGAGGCCGCTCGGCCTAGGAAGTCACCGCCCAATAGGCCAGTAGGCCGCTATATCTTCGGGAGGAGCAAGCAGCTCCTCCTCATTTGCGGTATGCAAGGATTGGCGACATGCTGCTGGAGCCAAGTGCTGGACTTAGAAGCGCTGCTGGAAGGACAAGAGCAGGTGGGCGCTCAGCCTGGCTATGGCGAGCAGCCCAGCCTGAGGAGAAGGAAGAAGGGGGCGAAGGAGGAGAGTGGCGAGGTACCTACCTGGCTATGTGGACACCATCTTCATCACCTTGTTGGGCGCTGCATCTGGAAGGCCCCAGTTGGGGTAGTGCTACACCCAGGAAGCTCGAGGCAGAGTCAGGCATGGCGGCTTAGTAAGCAGCAGCAGAGTTGCTTTGCGTTGTCCTTTGGACAGAAGTGCAGCGCCATAGCTGCTTTGCGTTGTCCTTTGGACAGGAGGGCAGGGTCCTTAGTAGTCCGCCATAGCCGAGGCATGTGAGAGGAGGAAGAAGGGGGAAGCCATGGCTATGGTGGACCTATTGTTGTGTCAGCAGTAAGAGGGAACTTCGGATATCGATTCTGGTTCATCCACTCATTGTTATTATTATTATTGGAAGAAGAATAAGATTGGCGAAGTGAAGGAGGAGGAGGAAGGTGGAGAGAGAAGGGGGATTTGTCATTGGTCTTGCTGGTGTACATCTTCTTCTTCTTCTTCTTCTTCTTCTTCTTCTTTCTCTCTTCTTTGGTCTCTATCGCTTTGCAAGTGCTTTCATTTCTTTCGCAATTGGGTGGCATTGTCTTTCATTCAAATTCATTGTGAATTTGCACTTTGGGAATGACAAGGATCGTAACAATTGGTATCGGAGCGGACTTACTTGCTGGCGAGAGGTGTTAGTCACCCTAATCCTAATTCCGAATTAGGTTAGGGATAACCTAATATCGGATTAGGGTTGGAGGTTAGGGTTAAGAGGGGCAGTGAGGCATGTGGACGCTGCCCCCACCTGGTTAGGTCATGTAGGGTCGACATCAGACCTGACCAGGTTGCTTGAGTGATTGAATGGGGTGGCGAGACACAAAGGAGGCTGATTGGAGTAAGCGAGAGGGAGTAGAGAGTGAGAGGTACTCGCACCTGGAATCTGGACTTCAAGAAGACATTGAGTGACTTTTGGGCTTCCCCTCAAGAGGGAGACTTGATCGGAGGCTGCCATATCTACATCGAAGAGCTGCAAGTTGCTACTTTGGTCTTCAACATCAACAGAGGATCCAGCGTTGTAACATGGGTGTAGGGAGGCCCTCTTAGTCATGCTAGGACACTTCGTGTAGTGGTAGCTAGGGGTCAGGAGGACCTATGAGAAAGGGGGGTGAGTCGTTATCCATCTTTGGAGGTTGGGCCTCATAGGTGAGTGCCGTGTGACTTGGGTATGCCCATGGGTGGTTGCTTGGTGCTTCATGGCCTGTGGGGGTGTGCTGGGCTCTCTTCCTATTCTCTGTGGTCTTGGTTGTGTGTGTGAGCATGTGGATTGCTTTCTCACCTGATGGATGGATGGATGGATGATGTATCTTGTTCTCCATTACATATCTTTCTACAGTGCATTGTCTTTTCATTCTGAACGGCTGTAGGAGCAGGTTCTTGCTGAAAGTTGTCTTTTCCTTTTCAGTACGGTGGAGGCAGTTTGGGACTGACTTGATACACCTCTCTCACTGGTTCTGGTCCACGACCTACTTGGGACCCTTCGGGACTCAGTGGGACCAGGCCCAATGGGACAGGAGTCACAGGACCTTTAGGACCCAAATCTGTTGCCGTCAATGCATCTCTTTGTTGTGCTGAATTTGGGGGACACACAACTAGTAAGGACGTTCCTTTCAAGGGGATCTTGACTGGTCTTACTGCATGTCCTCACACACTGCCCCGCGCCTGGCTCGGTGACTGGCTGCACCCCTTGAAATCTCCATTGCTGCAGTTAGTTTTCTTCGGCTGACTAATTCGTGGTACATGTTCCTTGTCAGGTTAGACAAGAGGGGATCTCCAGCTAATCTGACCGGGCCCATTCGTTAAGTTAGTCCTCTCTTTGATTTGTTTCTATTTATTTATTTTTCTGCTGCGTGAATGCCATTCTCTAAGTCCAAATGAATTGTCGCTCCGGCTATGATTTATTTGTTTTTTTTTAATCTGAACTATCTATGTCCAGTATTGAGACGTGTGCGCAAAAAGCGGAAAGACAGAAGGGAGAGAGAAGGTATTCTGTTTGAGAGTGTGAGGAGGGGTAAGAGAAGCGTTCGTCCAAACGTGAGCAAAGAGTGGATCCCTCTTGAGAGATCTACTGACACCCCATCCTCCAGCATGGCAGACATCTCATCTGCCCAATGGCAGGTCATTGTGGACGCAGCGGACGAGAGCGAGAAACTGTTCTTTCATAAACTTTATGAGGATGCAGTACACAGAGAGAGGGAGGCAGAAGCAGCAGCCAAAGCCACAAGTATTGTTGCCCAAGTGGCTCTCCTCGAGGTTCTCGAGTCTAGTGATGCCCGGTTCAAAGAGAAGCTAGTTGTTGCCGTAGCAGCCTTGGTTCAACTGGGGACCTTGGAAGATCTTGAGTCCTGTGTGACAGCTCTAGAGTAGCGTGTGAAGACGCCAACTGTAGGTAAAACTTTACAACGCATGCGGTGTGGAAGCAGCAACCAGCTTGCCTTGCATGAACATCAGGAGGCTGAGGATCAGTCCTATGCGGATGATCTGCCTTTAGATGACGAT